AGGGGGACAGCTTGCTTAGCAAACTTGTGTGCAACACCACTGAGAATGAATATAGGATGACTGACCCACTTCAGCCCACATTCCTAAACACTACCTCACCACAGAGGTAACAGAGGCAGCAAATGCTCTCCCCTATAGAAGGGGTCTGTAGCAGGGCTCATCCTACTATTTGATCCCGAACATCACTCTGCAAGTGCCAAAACAGAAGGCATCTCTGCTATCTTTACATGTCTTTTTTATGAATGTGTTTTGGCACAATCAGTAACACAACTGCATCCCATTTTCTCCACAAGCACTCAACTCTTGAACAGGATAGATGACTCATTTAATAAGGTGTTACTCTTTTTTGCTTTACTCTCATTGTGTCAATAGTCTCATCAAGCTTTATTTAATGTCTGCTAATCAGACTTTTCTCCAAATCAGATGTTAATTCCTCATGGATAGGGCTATACCATACCTGGATTTTTCTGGACATACGTCTTTCTCTGATCAAAATTTTACCCAGGCAAAACAAAAACGTTCCACAGTTCCCTGAGATTGCTGGACATATGCTCTCACGTCATAGCAGTTCCGCAGTACTGCTGACTGGACAGCTGAACATCTGGAATGGCCTGAACATACGGATGAAGATTGGTGACTAATTCTGTTTCTCATTTTCCGTAAATCAGTCACGCAGCACGATGTCGGGCATCCCAAAATGCAATGTAAGAGACACAACTAATGTTACAAGAGAGAGTCTGTCTGTTAGGCACCATCTCCTGGAATACAGTGCTAAGGTACAACTATACATTTTCCACTTCTACAAGACAAACTCAGAATGATCCTCTGCCACTGCACAACCCCAGAGCAGGTCAATTGTCACACAGAGCAAAGCAAGGAAGTGAATTCCACTTTTTGTATACACCCACTTCCATGTCTAAGCAACAAACTGAAGTTTCTCCAAATTCCTCTTACTGCTTGGAAGCTTTTCCTTGCAATTAACTGAAACCTGCACTTCTCAGGTTAAGGCCATATTGGTTTTGTAAGCCAGCTTTGACCAGTTTCAGCTTCCTCTCCCTCAATTGTATCTTTGCTTCAAATAGTACAATGATCCTATTTTCAGTTTTCTCTTCAAAGTTAGAAGTTGTTAAAATAAAGACATATAACTACATGACAATGCCTTACCTGGAAAAGCATAAACAGCAATACTAACGGGAACACTGTCAGAAGAAGAAAAAGGTGTTTTTTCCCTGCATGACATGCATTTCCTACTAGAAGCCTACAGAAGTCTATTGCTGACTGAAATACAGACTGTATTTTTTCATGTCCTTAATGTATTTAATTTGATTTTTAAGAATAAGTTATTAAAAATGCAATTATTAAAAAATGTAAGTAAGATTTTTCTGCTTTATTATAGATTATTCCTTTTATTTTGGACTTGGGTGCAGAACAACTGGTCTTTATTTCTAATAATTAATTGTCCCTGTTCAGATGCAATCACTGATACTGCTGACAGTTATCAGACATTACGTTTGCATGACAAAACCAACATTTTAATTGAGCACTGTCAGATAAAATACAAACAAACAAAAGGCTTGCCAAGTTCCACAGCCAAATCCATCTCTCCCTGTTAACATGGCTTTGTTTACACATGCAGCTGTGGTCCCATGGACTGGTGTGGAAGCTAACGATCATGACCTCACAGGATCAGAACTCCTGTTAAAAATATGTCTGTAAGTAAGAACGCGTCTCAGTTCCAGCAGAATTGGATTTAAACTACATCTAAACGAATCAAAGAAAAGAAGTGTGCTGCGCCAGTGCGATTTTTTTCCTTTTGCTGTGTTCATCAACAGGGACATGAATGGCTACAACTGCCGCAGTGGCCCTGGGGGGTGCCATTGGAGTGTTCATGCTCTGTGCTTCTTCAAAGCAGCACACACGCCAGATAAAACATACACACACATACTGCAGCCCAGGAAGCCAAGCACCGAGGGATCTCTCAAGTTAACTGCTTTCTGCTGTTTTTTGGCTTCTTTGCACTGAAACTATTTTGCAATAGCAGACGTGAAGTTAATGGGGAAATGTGTATGGAAGTGGGAAGGAGAAGAAGCAGGCATGCAGGCCTCAAATTGTTTTTGTGTGAAATCTTCTGAGAGCTAACTTGAAGCAGAGAGTTACTTTAAATGCAAGTGAAAAAAAAATCATCAAATGAAGTAAAGAAATTCACCACAAATTAAAAATAAACACATAAGAAACCACTAAACAGTTGGTCAGTGTTTTAATTAGAGATTAATTCAGAGATTTAAATTTGAGGTTTTAATTAGTTTGGTAAACCAAACAGAAAGTATCCTGGAGAATGAAATGGCCATTTGCAGAGCCTTTGTACTACAGTTTTCTGAAGAACTAGAAAGAGGAGAATAAGAGACGGTGTGCTATTCCTAAAACTGACTGCAAACCATATCCCTGTCCAGGCACCTCATGCACCAGTTTCAGGCACATCCATATGGCCACATCACCATTCCTTGGGGTAATAAGGTGTTCATTGGCCAGGCTGGATAACATAAGGAAAACAGCTAACACATATGCTGTGGGGCACTCTGGAGAGCCTAACTCAATACACAGACACTTCAGGCAGTGAGAGGCTTGCTAGCTTCTGCTTCATCTTAGCCCTGCTGGACCCAGGCTGGCTCCACACATCCCTATCCTCTCCACCACAGCCTCCAGGAGTTCTGGTATTAGTGCCACATCAAACCCAAGCCCATGTTCAGGTGGGACCAGCCCTGAGGTGATGGATCCTGACAGGATCCTGACAGACTCCTCTGACAGAATGCAGGGCCCAGATACCTGAAGGATTCCGCAGGGCCTGTCCAGAAGTCAACAAAGGGGAACTCGGTGCAAGTCAATAATCCTTCTGGTCCTTTGTGGAGCCACTTGTTTCTCTGTGTATCGTGTGTAAGCACTTCTGGTAGTGCAAACATGCCACCAAAGACTCCCAAGATGGGTCTGTATAGAGCCAGCTCGGGTTCAAAGTGTTTACTAGATCAGGTTCTGTGCCAATAAAGGCAGTTAAACTGCTCCTGCACCCTGGCCCTGGATACAGCACACCCATGCTCCCCCTCATGCCGCAGTTCAGGAGCCCTGACAAACCATAGTCAGCTCCACAAAGGCTCAGTTTGCTGCTGCTACATTCCCAGTCCAGCCAATCTGCAACTCAGATAAACTTTCCATCAATAATTGCAGGTTTAAAGAACTCACACATGTGTTTATAACCCTGACTCATGAGGTCAGAATTTTGGCCTGAATACTTTTCCACTTTTTGAACTCTCCTCTGAACTCCAAAGAATGGGGCTCTTAGGACAAAAAATGTGTATCTCTTAATTAGAATCTTGCTTTTTAGAATTGTTCTAAAGAATAGTATATATTATTTTAAATATACAGCATATTGTTCTTAGTGCTACAAAGATGCTTTTAGTCTTCAGATTTCTCAGCTCATCCTTGAAAGAATGATGGTGTTGTTTTTTTTTTTTACACTTACTTACACAGAAAACCAGCCAAAGGCTTGTTGATGCTTCCTTGTCTTCCATTTAGTTCTCTTTTTTGAGATTGCAATTAGCTCAGGGCAGGATCCATTTCTCTCCATTACCTGCTCAAAAGCCCAGGTCTCCAAGGGAAAAGCACCCTGGAAGCACGCTGCAGCTGCAATGTTCACTTCTGCAGGCTGGCAAGTACCAGGAGCTGCAAGAAGTCTAAGCCTGCCTAGGATGTAGCTGACATAGGGATAGGGGGAAAGGGAAAAAAAAAGAAACCACTCAACAATCTGCAACTACAATAAAAATCAAACATCCCTTGGAAAGAAACCTAGCTTTGTGACATGTGAAACTGTAGTAGGAGTAGACATTTAATATCCACATACAAGGGAGTACTAATGCACTGATGCTTTTAAGATACAGATTTTCAGAGAGGAAAAATAACAGCCTCTAACATACCAATCATAAACACGTATATTTTAAATATGATATTGAGAGAATATCATATATATGAGAGAAACTGCAGTTTTATTCCCCCTCATGGCTGTTGGAGAATACAAGATAAACACTAGAACTGTCATGAGAGAAAATGGAGAGAGAAAAGGGAAAAAGGCCAATACTGACATCATGACAGTACCGTGTGTGTGGAATAGAAATATTGTATCAAATTATTTTGTACCAAAATTATTTTTAAAAAAGTAACACTGTGGCTAGACCACCTACTGCAACAAAACCAACACAGCCTAAGCATGGCTGTAGGACACATGAAACTCGAAAGTATAAAGTCAACTACTCGGAGAAACTTTCCAGGCCTCACTCTGACCACTGCCTCCTCCACAACCATCACCTGGCCTCCGGTCTGCTCTGCCTTCTGCACATCCCTGCCCTCCCCTCTGCTCTGCCACTCCTCCTTCAGCACATCTCTCCCCTTCCATCCATCTATCCACCCAGGTTCCCATGTGCCTCTTTCCTCGTATTCTATCCTCAACCTCCAATGGACTCCTCCATTGGCATCCACGCACCACCCAACCCATCCTGCCCCCGCCGCACCCCCGAGCCGCGGTCTCCCACCCGGGTTTGTCGCGCACCCCCGCACCTCGCCCCGCGCCTCCCTCCGCAGCGCAGAGCCCCCGCAAAACGCCCACCTCCCTCCCGAGCGCCCCGCACCGCCCCGAGCCCACCCCCCACAGCCGGTCCTGCCGCACCGCCCCTCCCTCCAGCCCCTCCCGCCCCGGTGGCGGCACAGGAGCTTTGCCCTCGCTGTTCCGGACAGACGAGCCCCCTCAGCGCCCTCGTTCAGAGCGAGCCTCTCCCTCCCCACAGGGGTCTCCTCCGCAGCACCCATCTCCCCCCCCCTTCGCCGAGGCCGCTGGGGGCTGTAGTTCCCCCGCGGCCTCTCCCGGCAGCCCCCAGGGCTCGGCGGGGGGGCGCGGACTACACTTCCCGGCACGCTCCGCGGAAGCAGGGGGGATTCCCCCCCCACTCCACCCCTCCGCCAGCCTCTACCGCTGCTTCCCCCCCATCCCCGCCGCGCTAAGGGAGGCGGCGGGGTCTGAACCGTCGCCCGCTGCGGGCAGCGCCGCCGTGAGGGTCTGCCCCGCCACCGGGCCCTGCCGTTACCTGGGAGAGCCGGGGGTGCGTGTCCGCGGGCGGGAGCGGCGCGGGGAGGGGGCGCAGCGCTGCTGCTCCGTCAGCCCGGGGCGGGGGGGCCGAGGCGCGGGGGGCGGGCGGGGAAGAGAAGGGGGTGCGCGCGCGCGGCGACGGGCGGTTGCCATGGCGGCAGCGGCGGCGGGCGCGAGGAGGGAGGGGACGCCACCGCCACCGCTCCGGCCTCGGGAGCGTCCGCCGCTCCCGGCCGGCGGAGGGGGCTGCGGGCGCCGCCGCCCAGCCCGCGTTGGGCAGCCCTCGGCAGGGCTCCGCGCTCAGCATCCCAGGCGGAGGCGGGCGGAGAACGTCCCGTTTGCTGCGGGAGCGGCGCAGTGCCTGTGCGGGAAGCAGAGGAGCGAGTGCCAGAGCTAAGCGCCCGGGCGGGGCTGGCTGCCGAGCCCGTGCTCGAGTCGGAGTGGCTGAACACACAGGATCACAGGATGGGCCCAGTTGGAAGGGACCGCAGCGGGGCATCTGGTCCAGCCTCCCTGCTCAAGCAAGGTCATCCTAGAGCACATGGAACAGGATTTTGTCCAGACGGTTCTTGGATATCTCCAGTGAGGGAGACTCCACAGCTTCTCTGTTCTAGTGCGCGGTCTCCCGCACAGTAAAGGAGTTCTTCCTCATGTTCAGGTGGAACTTCCTATGCATCAGTTTCTGCCCGTTGCCTCGTGTCCTAGTGGTTAGCACCACCGAGAAGAGCTCTGACTTCACATTCAGAGTTCATTCCCACTCTGAATGCAGACCTCGTGTGCCTCCACTTCGGCTGAGGGAGCGGCTGGGAAAGGCAGAATGTGCATTTGTCTTGCATGGCCATGCAGAAGGGCACTGGACACCGTCTTTGCTGTAACAGTTTAATTGCTTTTATAGTACAGTAAAAGAACAGATTTGGGGATTTGCCCTTTTCCTGGACCGAAGTGGTACCTGGTGATCACAGGCAGCCTCACAGAGTGGCACCACCTCACAGAGTGGCACCACCCAGTCTGTGCTTTCTGCTAGGGGTCAATGTACCTGGTGTTTCTGAAGTGTGCAGCTCACGGTTATTAGAGCAGCCTAGTCTCCTGCAAGGGGAGCCGTGCAGTTATAAACCTTTCTAAGGATGTAATTTCACAGTTAATGCAAGCCAGCTTATGTCTGTATTGCCACCAAAAAGGGCAATCCTGCATTCCTCTCTGATCATGACCATGCCTTCCTGTTTGTTATTTACACCACAGTAACACTGATGTTGCCATCTGGCAAGGCAAGCCTGGGATCTGATCTGGTGGAGAGGCAGTTATGCCCCTCCAAAAAATTACCCAAGTTCAGCTGGATGAATTTCGTTCATTAGCTGAGCCTGCCGAGCTACCGCAGAGGAAGTCAGAGTAGATGTGGAGGCAGGAACAGCCAACTGAGATCCCAGCGGATCCGAGCTGTGTTTCTATGTGCAGCTGCGCCACTGCAGCGAGTCCTTGCTGCTGAAACTGCCTTGTGACAGCTCGGAGAGTGTCCCAGTGATGATGATCTTGTGAACGCTCCCGAGAGTAGTACGTGATTTCTCCAGAAAATGTCTATTGTAGTTACTTTAAGGTAGCAGCATGAGGTTGTAACTCACAATAAGGTTCTCAGAAATGTTAACTGACAGAAGTGAAAGAGCAGGGATTGAAACTAAAAGCTCAGTATGCCTCTTAAACAATACAGCATGTATGAATGTGTCACTCATGTATCTACAGATCTTACTTCCCTCAAAAGCATGTGGAGATTCTTATGTCTTTGTGACTATTTTAGAACTGGGGCCAAAATCGTGATGAATTCATAACAGCTGCAACTCTGGCTTCCCCCTTTTCCAGATTTCTGCAAACTTGCCTGCCCATGACATCAATTCCTGCTGGTTTTTCACATACCCAAAAGCATAGACGCTGTACAGACCTTGCAGAGTTCAGTGTTTCTTGGGGAGAGCAGATGCTTAACAGCCTGTTCCCAACACTGCCATAACATCCCTTCCCACTAGACTATGTACCTCTTATCACATAAGGCAACACATTAACCGCTTTGTGTGAGGATTGTATCCCCCAGCTAGGAAACTGTGACACAGAAAAGGTTGGTTATTTGGTCATAATCTCTATGTGTTTGCTTGGTGATTTTTTCCCCCCGTCCCTTTTTTTAGTAATGCTTGAGTCGAGCAGGGCTGGTTCCTCATGGCAGAAGGTGCCCATACTACTGCAAACCTCCCTCTGAAAAGCAGTTGCTCAACACCAGAGCAATACCAGTGTCAACCTCGTTAGACACCTCAGAGGGAAATTTTAGTATGCATAGGTCTACACAGTTTGCCAAGGTATGCTAAGTAACTGGGTCAGGAGGAAGAGAACTGTGTCTCCAGGTTCCTAGCCATGCACGTTAGAATAATTCAGGTTGGAGGGGACCTCAGGAGGTCATCTAGTCCAACCAGACAATCAGAAGTTCATAAACCTGTTAATAAGGCAGAGGAATGACAGCTGTGAGCATGAAAATTTCATAGCCTTTCCTGCTGCCGTGGTCAGACTCCATCAAATCTGGCTGGAGTGGTACAAAAAATACTGCTACCCTGACCATCTATTCCACCGCCTTACTGCCTTCACAGTAGTCCCTGGATTATAAAACACTAATGTTTCTAATCTGTTTTATTAAAAAATATGGCATTAAAGTCATGTTTGGGAGCAGTTTAAGCTAATTTGCCGGACCTTGTATTGAAGCAGCTGGACTAGTGCATGCATTGCATTCCACTGACTCTGCTGTGAGGCAGTAATCTCAGGCAAAGAGAAGGTAAGAAATTTCTGAGAGGGGTGTGACACCTTAAGACACTGAAGCTTGTTCTACTGTGAGTATATTCTCATGGCTTACATCTTTTTATTTTTGATAGAGGCTTTAAACCTAGCTCTGGATAAGATGTGATGTTGGTGGGTGTCAGCAACTGTGGTTAGGCAGGATCCAGCCATGGTGGTGTAGGAGAGCATTACTCACAGCCAGACACCAGGGACTTATCGTGCCCCTTTCCAGCAACCTGCAAATCTGCCAGCAGAGTTGATTGTGTGACCTCTCGCTCTGATTTATTCTAGTCAGTTCAATCAGGAGCTGATATAAATTAATGTAATTCCTTTGCCATGAACATTAGGTTTGGTTCAGAAGTGTCTCTTCAGCTAGAGTAATTGCAGACACTGTCAGTGAAGTTTAAAGCTATCCACTCTTAGGGTCTGTGTCAGATTAACAAACTGGTTTCTGAATTGATTTGGTTATCATTACGTAAATTCCAGTGACTTGAGGGCTGGCACAGGCTTTTAGCACAAAGTAACAGAGAGCTTCATTTGTAACCTTCTCCCACACACAAAGTTCTGCAGGAGAAGGTTGAAAACGTGAGAAGTCTATGAATTATGAACTGCCCTTTGCTTTTGTCTTGCCTTCCCCTCGCAATTACATTTAACCAGACTACAGGAATGATTGTGCCTTCATAATAATCTTTAGTGCTCACATGCAAACGTAACTCTTTACCAAAGGTCTTACAGGCTGTGTGTAGAAATGCTGTAATAATGGAAAATGAAAAACAATAGAGAAGCAATAGGGAAAAGAAGGTCCATGTTACATATTCATGGGCATTAACCTTCCAAGAGAAGTTATGCACAAGTCAGTAAAGGCATCAGTAGACTATTAATTTTCATACATACAAAGTAATTGTTCTTCTGCATAGTTATTTTTATGTTATGGTATTTATCAGTGTGACATGTCCACCAATTTCTCTCCTAGGAAATAATCTCAAAGTTTGAACTTGAGAAATTGTGATGGGTTGGCAACACAGAAACATTTAATCACCATCTTTCCCATAATGCACATCTCAAAGTGCTGTGAATTGTTAATAGAGAGAACAGTTTAATAGAAAGCAGTTGATTCTCAAATGGGATTTCAGTTAAGTCAGAAAGTGAGAGTAGGAATGGACAAGGGTGTTTTTATTTATCTGGTCAATGTAGACATCTGTCTTGTAGGTTCTGCCTCTGAGTTAGCTTTCCTCTTAAGTGAGAGAGAGTGATACTTTGAGGATACAGTTCCTGTTTTGACCAACATGGACTGTACCCTGAATGTTTTTTTCCAGTGCTTTTAGCCAGCTTGGCTGATCAGCATAAATATAAGTGTTTGCACTGTAGATGCCTAAAGGTAGGTGAGAGGAATCCTACCTAATATGTTTGTTGTATTGTTAGAGCCATAGCAAAGGAAAGCTGTCACGGCAGCTTTGAGTTGGTTGATTAAAATGACAAGGAACAAGCCAGTGTCACATTAATGGAAGACACAGGTGGAAGAGAAGACAGATCTTTGAAAGGGGTTGGAGCAAACTGAGAGTACACTGAAAAAAAAAACCCCACCTGTTCTGCTTTGAGTCTGCAGACAGAAATTAGAAGAATTAACAGGAACTAGGATATCGTGTTTCTTTTCTGTGTATACTCAACGTGCAAAAGCATTTTGCATATGTTAAACACTTTGGAGAAGAAATAAGAAAGTAGCTTACAGTAGTCCAAACAAAGAGAGAGGAAGATGTGGACAGAAACATCGGAGAAAGTAGAGTCAGGCCCAGGGAGCTGTGTGTCAGCAACTGCTAAGTGAAAACCTGGACATGGAAAGAAAGTTTGTTCAGAGAATCTCAGTCCTGTGGCAGAGCACTAGACGGTATCAAGTGACAAAGTTCCCTTAATCTGTCTGCTGGAGTTGACAACTGAGAGAAAACCTCTCGTGATGTGCTTTTGTTTGGCAACATAACTCTTTCAGGGTACAGTGTGAATTTTAAGCTGTTTCTCTAAAGATGTGACACTTCTGGAGTTGCACACTATCTGTCCCATTGCAATAATTTTGAACTTCACTGGCCAGTTTCTACTGCATTTGTAAAAGGATGGTGGTCTAACCGAGTTCCTTCTAGTTTTGTAGTAAGTAGCACAGTAGAAAAAATGGACACAGCTGGTGGCTCTGCTGAGCACAAGGCAAGCTGCCCAGTC